AAAAAAAAAGAAAAAAAATTATAGATGGACGTGAAAGATAGACGAGAAGAGAGGTGGGGGAAAAAAATGGAATCGCTTTTCCCATCCCGCTCCCCCTCCCCTTACCTGACCAACACACCTCCTTGCCTCCTACCTCTGGCGTCTCTTTCGTTTACACCCCATTATACTGGCGTTGCGATCTCTTTTTCCCCCCTATTTTCCCCTACACCACTTCTACTGCTGTTCCTCGTTTCCCACCCATCCCATCCAATTCCGTTAGCTTCTAATCCCTCCATCGATAGTCTCTTGCCTCCCATTTCCCGCCTCCCTTTTTTTTTTTTTTTTTTTTTTTTTTTTGTTTGTTTTTCTTTTCTCTTTTTACCCCTTCTCCTCGTTTCCCCCTTGTTTGCTATGGTATGGAAATGGATGGTATGGTTCTTTGCCCTGGTATGGGCTGGTCTGGGCGTGGCGTGGTGTGCGGCGTTTTCGCTGTGGTTTTCTCTATTCTTTTCTCTTTTACTCCCCCCCCCCCCCCCCCCCCCCTTGTTTTTTGCTTCGTTTTATCGTTTGTGTATTTTTCTTTTTTCCCCCTGTAAGGTTTGACCACTCGGTCCCTAGGTAGGTATGTTCCAGCTGTTTGTGTGTGTAAGCTGTCCACTGTTGTTGTTTTTTCCCATTCTGAGATCTTCCATTGAAAAATTGGGTGGTTGAGTTTGATCAGCTTTACTAAATATTAGTCAATTTTGTGATTCGAGTGAGGCTGATAAGTTTATATCTGATATCTGATAGTTTTTATATTTCTATATTGTTCTATTGTTTTGTCTATTTTTGTGGTTGCCCTGCTCTTGATCGCCTCCTGTAAGATTGGTTGTAATTGTCTGCTTGGGTTGTATGTTGGCGTGGCGATGATCATCAACAGGCCCAGTAGGGACAATTGTGTAAGTTATCGTGCTGGAGCGAAGGGGGGATTTAAATCCTTTAGATTTCCCATTTCCCATTCTCATTCCTGTTTACTTTATTCTTTTTTTGTAGATTGGGGCTGCCTTTGAACGATTGGGAGTGGAGGGACAAGCCAGAAAAAGTGATGTCATAGGGGACGGGGTTATCACCAAACCTCAACTTCGACCACGTCTCTGGATGTATGTGTGCACGAAGAGCAGCCATTGGGATAGATCATCACATTCCATTCATGTAGTAAGCTATCAACGAAAGAGTTTTCCAGGTTCCTTACTCCATCCGACACCGAACCATATTACAGCGTAGAAAAAGGGATTAAAATGTTTACGCAAAACCAGCATTGCCCAGATTATGTTCCTAACGTACCATCTCATTAGCCAACATCCAAAAACCAAAAGGAAGAAAAATAAATGAAGTAAAAATAGAAGGAAGGTCACAAAAAAGAAAAGAAAAAAAAGCAAATAAACATACCTTAATATACTCCCCCCCTTTCTCCGACCACTCATGCCTACTAACAGCCGCACTCTTAAACTCACTCCCACCCGCCCACTCCGCCGCCCCCTTCCACGCATCCAACACCGCATCCCCCGCCCTCCGCACCTTCAAAACCCCCCCAATCTCACCAGGCAACATACCCCGAAACTCCCTCTCAAACCTCTCCTCAAACCCACGAAACAGCGAATTCCCCCCGGCAATAAACACATCCCTCAACAACCTCTCCCGCTCCTCCCTCCCCGAAAACCGCTGGTTAACAATATCAGCCGCAATCTCCACCAGCCCCGCCTGATCCAGCCCCGCAATCGCCGAAGGCTGGAACACAACCTCCGGCACCCGAATGCGCTCCACGTTCAGGTGCAGCTGGTGCGCCTCGCGCGTGCTCTCCGGGTCAAACGGCCACGGGCCCCGCAGGAATACATGCACGAGACTCTTGGTCCAGTCTGACTGGGCGTCCAGCGTGTGGTTCTCCGTGAAGAGCGGATCGTGTTCGAGGAGCTGCTGCTCGATGGCGCGCAGTTGGGCGGGGAGGTCGATTTCGTCGTTCTCGTCGTCGTCGGAGGCAGCGCCGGCTGCGTCGGGGCCTGTGGCGACGGTGCGGTAGACGCGCCAGTCGTCGTCGTTGGCGCCGAAGGTGTCGTCGTCCGGGCCGCGGCGGCGTTTTTTGGAAGGGGTGTCGGAGGCTAGGTTTGCGAGGGTTTTCATGCGCATTTGGCTGGCGAGGGATTTGCGGTTGCCTAGGTCAGCTTTTAGGCGTTCTTTTTCTTTGAGTTTTTGGAGGAGAGTCTTGTGTGTTTGTCAGTCAGTTTATGTGTATCGTTGCAGAGGTGTAGTAGGTTTTAAAAATGGAAATTTACCTCGCGAGCCTGTCTTCGCTCCTCGATCCACTCTTCGAAATTGTTTTCGCGCTTTTCGTTGTCTAGACGTTCCTCTTCAGCTTGCCGGGCTTTTTCCATCTCCTTCTCCGCTTTGGCACGCTGTCTCGCCTCGACGTTCGACTTCATAAGCCGCTGATGGCGCTTTTCTTTCAGACCGGCCTCATCAAGCTCTTCGTCAGGGACATCGAGAAGTGGGAATGAAGCTTCCTCCGGCTCTTCAGTCTCTTCATTGCCCAGGTCTTTGTTTCGGGATTTCTTGATAGATTTTTCTAGGTCCCGTATCGTGCGTTCTAGATGAGCCTCGTCTTTCATATCTTCTGCATCTAGAATCCGCTTGATTTCTTTCTTAGATTCTGACGCAAGTCCCTGCTGTAGATCCTTGTAGTACTCGAGTTCTTGCTCCTTCTTCATCAGCTTCTCCAACCGCATTCTGGCAGCTTGCTCCTGTAGTCGCCTGCCGCTTTCCCTCTTCCTCTCTGCGATCCTTGCAAGCTCTTCCTCGGTCTTCTCCACGACTACGTGTTCAGTGAATGGGTATTGAATGACGCGATCCCGATCCTCCAGTCCCGTCCAGTCAAGATACCCAGAGAGCTCTCGATCGTAGTCTGTCGAAACATAGCAGTGTTCATGTATGAGTTGCGTCATTTGATGTTCCGTCATGCGGTCCGGAAATGTAGGGTATTTCAGCTTTAGTAGCTTCATCATGTATTCAGACGCCTGGAAACCACCCCAGTTCAGCCGCGTTGAATTCGATAGGAGCGCTTTGGAATTGAAGACGGGGATAACATGCGTGGAGGAGTGGGATGAAGAAACCACAAGACCGTCCGTTCCACGATTATAGCGGTATGAGAAGAGGGAGTCAATGCCGTAGGCAACTGAAGGGGCGGAATAGCATTCGAACAATATCTCGTTCATCACTATAAATTGTTAGACGGCATCTCACAGCGAAGTGGAAGTAGTGGTAGGTATACTTTTCCTCGAATACCCCAGGTTAGCTATAGGTTCCGTCAGAACAATGGGCCGATCAACTCCGCCATTCGCTCCGTCAACACCCAACTTCAGGAATATGTAATCTAGCACGCCTTCCATAACGTCCCAGTTTCCGATAATGCTGGTGCCGGGGTCGAAGGCATTCCGCACCTGTCCGCGCGTGGTCGCATCGACGTAGGCATCATAGCCCACGAAGTGACACGTTCGATTGTATTTGCGATCGCGGTATTTGGCCATGACGGGAGGGATGATGAATCGGGGAGATTTGTCGAAGGACCAGCCTGCTTTTAGGAGATGGGAGCCTAAAACAGAGAAACAGATGAGTAAAGGATAGTTAAACTGGAACGGAAAGGGTGACTGGAAACGGGAGCTATACCATTGTCGATCACGATGGCGCTGGAGCTCGCCGTGCCTCTACTCTGTTCGTAACCATCTGGTTGCGGAGGGGTATAGCCCTTGAATGGCGGGTCCTGAATGGGATACACCTTCGGCGGGGGCTTTGGGTCATTTTTCTGAGCAATATTTGCCGCCACTCGAGGAGGGTCAATGACGCGGGTGGAAGTGATGGTCATTGCGACTGCAAAGGGGAGGCGGAGGAGATTTGCGGATAGGGGAACTCTCTATGCGGAGGTGTAAACTAGCATTGAGAAGAAAGCTGGAGAGACATTGCCAGACAAGGGTTTGCTTAGATTTGACTGATATTTCCTAAAGCCCTAGCATGTGGCAATAAAATGAATCTGTTTCAGGATGTTTGATGGTGGGGGAGAGCACATTAGAAAGTTGGGATGAATGAAGTTGAGGTTAGCGAGGCGGCATTCTTTCTTTGCCTTCCAAGGTTTGCGCCGCCCGCTGGACTTGGAAACTTAGCTTCGTACAGACATTATTCCATCTGCAAATATAATAATATATTCATGGATTTGATAAATCATAACCACTTATTTCATTCCAAAGTTGACTCTCATATTCTACTACATCCATCCATGGCCATACTCACAGATATTGGTGATTCTCAATTCTCAATCATACCTGGCTCAGCCGGCTGATCCAGTTCCAAGGATGATGAAATTTAATCATGCATAAAATCATAAATCATTGTTGCATTTCTATATATAGTACATATGTGTTATTCGTTAGGAGTATATTAGACGTATTGAATGATAAAACAAAGCAGATTTAGAAAAAAGAGGAATATCTCATGTGTTTATTCATGTGTTAACTCTTTATTTAGTGGTTATGTACGTAATCTATGTTGACTCCTTCAACTCCTCCGTGGCTAACATGCATGAACAATTAAGAATTAGCAAAATCAATACAAAACTATCTCATGGACCCAAAGTGTATACCGTAGTGTATATAGGGGTTATACATACCTTCTAGATGGAAAAGCACATTCGACTGGTAATTCTTAAACATCTGCGCCACCAGCTCGACATTCATGTTTTGCACGTTGACTTCCTAGACGCACGCAGATAGATATTAGCAACCGTTTCTTTTCTATCCAATGTACAGCAGGAGTTATATACGTACCTGCAGATTTCCATTCAACACCATGATCGCCTCGTTGAGTTTCTCCTGCAAAGGACATCCATGAAGGGTGTTGGATCAGTACCCAGCAAGCTCATACATTCTGGCCGTGATTGGCGGTGGTGTGTCATGGAATATAGGGAACAGGGAGCCATACGACATTGGTGATAATGCGCGAGAGAAGTAGACTCTGCTGTTGCTCGTGGGGGCTCTCCTGGTCACGGTTAGCGGGTGCAGCAACCTACGTTGCGGAATATGCAGAGATATAAGTATGTATGTTTGACAGGATGTGATTCACCATGTTTTGAGCGTGTTCTGTTGTTGGTTTTGAGAACAGGGGTTGAGAGGTCTGATATTTAGTAGCTATATAATCGCAACAAAGAAGTTGGCTGTCTATTTCCCCATTTCATATGTTCTCTGCTCACCGTTGCATTGAACTCTTTGAATTGCATTGGGGCTTTGTTCTTCTCATGTGTATTGTTCAACACGGTGTGTATCATCATCGTTTTGGCTGAGTTGGAGTTGTTTATCGGATCGCATGTTTGCAACTTTGACAAACACCTGCGATATCAAAGAACCTTCACAGGAAGCTTCAACTTTTCAGCTTCATTTCTTCCTTGTAACTTCTCCCCATTACTCTCAGCCATTCCCATGTCCTCGTATTGCCATATTAACGCATCCAGTGTATCTCTCTCCGTACCCCTCTAATCTATCTCCAAACCACACTTAATAATTCGCAACCATGGCCCCCACCCCCTCCACCACAGACGACTCGCACCAAAAGCTACTAGACCTGCTTGACATGGCTCGCATCCCACGTCCCTTTCGCAACCCACACTGGAAACCCTCCGCTCGCCGCAACAAGAACGTGAAACAGATCATCTCCGAAACCTCACGCAAAGAAGCCTCCGTGCTTGCCAGCCAGAACAACTCCGGCTCCTCCACCCCTTTCGCCTCCGTGCCACCAGCCGTAACCCCAGCTATCACAGAGAACGGCAACGGCCATTCCAACACCAACGGGACTCTAACCCCGATCCTCCCCGCCTCTGCGAATCCGGCAGGCACACCGTCACGGCCGCAAAACATCGCTCAGGCGGCACAGAGCTTGTCAACACTGGTGTTGGAGAAGAATTTCCGTTCCCTGGTGCAGATGGGGAATGGAATGGGGCCTGCGGTGACGTATACAAATATTGAGTCTGCGCCGTCATTACACCCGTCGTCTCAGAAGAGGTATTGTGATATTACGGGGCTGCCGGCTCCATACACGGATCCGAAGACGCGTCTGCGGTATCATGATAAAGAGGTTTTTGGGGTGGTGAGGTCGTTGGGACAGGGGGTCGCGGAAAGTTATCTGGAGGCGAGAGGAGCGCATGTTGTGCTGAAGTAAACGGATGGGGTTTATTCTACCTTGTGTGGGCGCAATGGGGTTTATGGTTTTATATTCTATATGGAGAATGGATTGAGAGTACAAAGGTACGTTTCACTTTTGCTTAGTTTTAATGAAGGGAATGATGTTTTAATTATTCGCATTAATACTGATACTGGTTCTCTCTGTTATAAGAGTGAGTTAATGCTATGCACGACAGACAGTAATGTTCGGCCAACAAAGTCAAGCCCCATGCACCCCACCCGGCCCCTTTCGAGACCACGTTCAAAATGACGCTCCGGCTTAATCGTGACCATTTAGAAGAAATTTTACTTCTTAGGCTTGCTTTCCGCCTGACATAAATGCAGTTCGACGGGTACCGCCATCCCATTGGATGGAAGGGGATGGCAGTTACAGTGGCATTCAGCACACCGTGGCCGTGGCGGAATGTAAGGGGTAAGAGGGGAGGGATATGAATTGGTTGTGGATATCAATGTTGAGATCTGGGAAGGTGTATTCGTGATGAAAGGAATAACGGTTGGAATAAGATACATGGATAGGAATCTTGTTTTCTTTTTTGAGTAGATAAGGGTTCGGGGGGTTATTGTGTAGAGAGGTCAGGCAGGAGGGTAAAGAAGGGTTTCGATTTCGGCTTCTCGGTCGCGGAGTAGAGGTGAAGTCTTTGGGAAGTCAACGCAATATAATCAAATGCTATTTCATAAAATTTGCCAAAAGTTGATAACGAGAAAGGCATCATCAAGCCCCCTAGTGCTGCCATACTGGCCAGACAGAATCCATAGTAGTATTTTGATGTTGGAGAGAAAAGCGAAATGTTTTTTGGTGCGATTTGTTGCAATTAGGTTCGGGGCGACCAACTAAGTCCGTGAAATAAGCCATTGGCTTAACGCCCGTTAGCCGCGCGTGTAATCTGAATAGGCGATCAGAGGACGAAAGAAAGCAAACCAATACTAATTATTATTTCTATTATTTTCTATCATTTTAATATTCCCAGCTTAAATTTTCCTAATGCACCATTATCAATGAGATACCATTCAATAGACATACCCATACAGGCTTTTGGAAAATGAATTGCTCTATTTGGTGAGTGAGCATCTTCACAATGACAGCCCCAAGCTGGCATATTAAATATACATGAACACACATTATATCAATATCTTCCTCCTGATCGACATATTAATATTTAATCTACCTCCTTGGCATGTTACTTGCAACTTATTCTAACCATCCCATCCAGAATCTTCAGAGATACGTAACATTCTGACCCCGCGCGACCCTAATCCCAAAACCTATATACGCCTTGACGACGGAAAGTTCCCCGTAACCTTAAACCACTTGCGGCTGAGCGTTCCCCTGGCGTGTCTTGAGGGATTGGGAATACTCGTGCACGCGGGCATACAAGACGAGAGCTAAGGAAGTGTTGTGGGTGCGCAAAAGGGGATAGAGCAGTCAAGATGCCGTCAATGTGGTTATCAGATATGCAGAGTGAGTGCGCATGCCGTTTCACGGCTCTATCCATATATACCTCCCGTTTTCTGCAGTGTGTTATGGACGTGGACGGGCAGTTGTTTGCGGTACCTGTTGGTGGATGCGTCTTGTGCAGATGCCAGCTGCTATTTAATTTTTTTTTTCAAATTTGCCAGACTTGCGATACACTTATACTCATCTGTCGCACCTTGCTAATATGTGTTTTCTTACAGAGACTGGGGTGGTGTTTTGTTCTGGTGGTATGTAAATGGACTCTAACTATATCCCCTTTTATATCACAGTCGACCGCCCGTTGGGCGCGCAATGAGAGACAGTTCAGTATTTGCGTGCTGGGTCGCTTATGGAGTTGGATATGGAGGCGTAAAAAATGAAATTAAAAGAAGTAATATTTTATAAAAAAATCAATTTCTGATGTACCGTCTGAAATATGCAGGGAGTTTATTTCTCTTCTTAGGAATTATCATGTTTTTTGACCGGTCACTGTATGTTTTTAAATCCTCCCACCCCTCCCCCCTCCCGGCCTCACCCTTCGAAAATTGACATCTCATTAAGTGTCATGAATTAACATTTTTTTCAGACTCGCAATGGGCAACGTACGTATCCTAGTCATCCTAACATATCCAACCAAACACGACCCACCCACCTCTAACACACAAAGCAATAGATCCTCTTCCTAATCGGTCTCCCCCTAATCCTCGGTCCATCCAAGACCCTCTCCTTCTTCGCGCGCCGTCAAAAGCTAACAGGAACCGTAACTTTCGCCTTGGGCATTTTGCTAATCCTCTTACGCCGGCCGCTCCTGGGTTTCTGCGTCGAGCTGTATGGGCTCTTCGTGCTGTTCGGGGATTTTTTGATTACCCTTAGCGGGTTTGTGGGGGGATTGCCGGTGGTGGGACCTCCGCTGAAGCAGTTATTGGTGTTTATTGGAACGGCAGGGGGGAGGAGTGGTAGAGGTGGCGGGGAGCTGCCGGTTTAATAATGTTTTCCTTTTTCCCTTTTTGACCCTTCCGGGGTTGGGTGTGTGCGAGTGGTATTTGATATGCTACTATCTTATTCGCTTGATTATGCGGTATCTATTGCCTTGCGCGCTGGCAGGCGGGAAATGAAATGTATTATTGATTTATACTGTCGTATGTAAATATATCTCATATTAACTGAAGGCAAATGAAGGCCTTTTTTTTTCGCGCATAGCTTTTACATTTCCATTGACAGTCATGAAGCGATATCTGTCTGGGTGTCGAGACTGCTGAAGGACTTGGATCTAGCTCGTCTGTATAAGGGATATGTGAGTGGATGTTTGAATAATACTAAGATGAGACGAATAATACACATCCAGCGCATTAACGGAAAATATTAATGAATCTAGCCAGGGTCCGCGTGTTTCCAGCCTAACTTTCTCGGTAGTTCCGGTGGACCAAGGAAATCTGCTGGGGTAACGGTAACTGGCCCAGGGGTTAAACAATGTGTTCCCCGCAACGTATATCTATGCAGTCTGTTACTGGAGACACTATGTTGGTAATTTGCTTCCGATATCCGTACTCTAAATCCCGCAACAGGGACCTTATTCTCATAAGCATCACACCCGGCATGTCTCCCGATAGTCAGACTGGAGAGGAGGCGTCGGGGTTTGTGATAGGCTGCTGAAAACTTAATGATTGAAGTGCGGCTCTCTCCGGGATATCACTTTTTATAGACGGTGTCTGATCACCTTTGCGGTCGGAGGGTAACGGGAGAGTCGGGTCTTCGTCTGGGATACTTGTGTTGGTTGTATGAGTAGCCGTCAGGTCCTTCCCTCGTAGACTGTCAGTCGCCGAATTAGCTCCCCAGATTCCACAATCGGCGTGGTCGGCAGGACTGAAAAAGTAACCTCCAGTTACTGCGGGTGTTTTCCTTTTGCGGAACAATCGAAAAAGCGGTTTAAAAGTTGGGATGCAAGCAGCTATAATAATCGTGTCCGCCTCGAGTCTGAAAACATTCTAATTGTCAGACAGAAGTCATCAAAGGTGGAATTCACAAGAGATGAAAGAGCAGAGCAATAGGGAAGGTATGATTACTTAGACCAGAAGATCAAATCACTACTCCTATCTACAAGATGACAACTGATATTAGTCTCTCCAATTGATATCAGGGGGAACCAAGGGATTATCGTACAAGTAGTGTCATGTCTCTTCTTCAATGTCGGCAGCTGCACGCATTTGATAATTGCCACCACACAAGCGCTGTGTAATGACAATGGTTAGTGGGAGATGTGGTTGGAATTTGCAATTAGAAAGTTTGACAAACGCACATGGTACCAAGTCCCAGCGCAACGCTAACTGCAATCTTCTTCAAGCGCGATACCCTGAGCTTCCAACACACAATAACTGCGTATACCGCAAAATACAAGTCCGCAAACGCAGATACCGCTATATCGGGGACGCATTGGTCAGTAACGCACTCCTATTCGGAATAAAGTCGGAGTTTTGTGTGATGCGCGGGAGGGATACAACAGACCTCCAGTAAAAAGCAAATAGTTGGTTGATGATACAGGGTTCCTACACTTGGCATTCTTGATTCTCTTATCCCATGTCGCCTGGTGAGGATTGCAAATGGTCATGAGTACTGGAATGCCTATGCAGGAAGAAACCGTCACAAATGCGCCCAGGAACCAGACCACGTTACGGTGAAAGGGCGTCGGAACTAGGATCCTGTTGAGCATAGCAGCCACAGCAAGCTTTGGAATTGCAATTGCAAGAATGGCAAATAAAGAGCCGATTTGGGCGTTGAGTCTTGCACCACGAATTTGGTCCGGTGTCAATGTGTCTTGATGCTTTCCAAATCCATAGCCCACGCTGACTGTAACAAGTACGACATAGGTAAGGCTCAAAATCTATATTCAAATTGAGGAGAAGGAGTTAGTACTCTCAGCCAGCATACTCGAGGGATGAAGATGTGAAGGTATCGAAGATACAGGGGAAAGGGTATTAAGTGATATACCATGGATAGCAAAATCAACCAATCGTCAAGTTCGACCTTTCGTATAATCGCGGCTCTGACGTAGAGCCTTGAAGCAACCAAGATGGCTGCAAGAGGCGTGATAGTCCAAATGACCACAAGAATGAGTGGGCCTTTATCTTCTTGGAGATTCCAGCCTGAAGTCATTTTGAACGAGCGGTTGGGACCTTCAGAGGTTGTGTGCGAGGTATATTAGATAATTTTCAGGGTAAGGCTTTTCTCTGACCCTTTATCCCATTCGAAGCAACAAAAAGGGGCGGGAGGAAAGTAGTGAAATCCTTTCTTTCTTTCTTTCCTAAATAAAAAAAGGGGGGGGGGGGTTATGGTGGCTCAGATCCCCCGCGTCTGTGCAGGTTTTGCGGCCTTGAATCAGCTCATTAAGAGAGAGATTTCACTCTTCTGTTGCGAGCAGAGAAGATGGTTTTTTGAAGGAGCCAAGGCTTCCATCCATAGATATGACCAAAACTGCCGACATGTTTCTCGTGCCCAACAGCTAAATCGAGTCACAGTCCTCCATACGGCCGTGAAGAATGAGAAAGGTTCAAAAGTGGCATTCTCAGCGGCTCGAGCGAGATCCGGTATTCGCAGATCTCTGGATCAGATATAAGCGTCCGCGATGTTTAGGGAGCGAACAAAGCATGTTTGAAACTTGGTAAGCGGCACACGGGCTGAGAGTTTGCCAGAGACCCAGGAGTTCGGAGAACCCGAATGTGAGTTGCGAGAATAAAGTTGTCACTATCGAATTAGTTAGCCAATGTGATGAGGGTTACGGAGTGGCGACTTATGACTTTACCACCACCACCCAAAAAAGAAAAAAAGAAAGAAAAGACAAATGGATGTTCCATTGCTCATTCTATTAAGATGAATTCTGTCTTCTCTTCTTTACTTACTGAAAAACTCAGAGCAAAAGCGCAGTAACATCATGACCCCAGGCCAAATCCACCTGGGCTTCATCAAAATCTGAGATTGAGATTGAGAGAAGCTCATCGCAGGGTGGAGGCATGCCAAGCAACACCAAGAGGCTGCATTACACCACCACTTGGTGAAGTGATCCAGAATCCAGATAATTCCAGCTACAGCTATGATGTGGCTGATATGCTCCCCCCCCCTCCAGGTACCAAGCAGAGCGTGTTCCAAGCGTGAAAGCAAGCAAACCTATTGCGGTGATATTGCTCGACATCCGATATACGAGATTATGGGGTTTAATGGCGTTATATCGATTGCTTTGACACAGCCAGGGAAGTCTAAAAAAGGTATCTGGGTGACAGGTTAAAATCTTAGTCTGCCTGAGAGATTAGATTGGCTGGCGCATGGGCCGCCCCTCTACCACGCTGAAGAACACGGTCACTGCATTGATCCCGTTGGTCCGACGCTGGTATTCTGCTTCAAGGTAATTAACGCCCGGAATAGCCAGCATGGTGTCAATCACTATCAGATGCTCGGAGGTCCAGAAGGTATGAAGCCTCTATGTTCTCAGGAACCTACAACTTTAAAGTCCACTAGCTTCCCTACCAGTTGCTGCTTAAGGTCAAGGGAGCACTTCTCGTTCCTTTAATGCTCTAAACTCTATTGGATCCGCCAGTTTTGCTGCCGTCGTTGCTTCACATTTCACAGTTTACAGGAAGCTCTTTTGTACTTCAACTTTTCATTCAGCGTCCGATCCTGGAGAGGTTCCAGCTTCTCTGGCAGTCGACAGTGGTCTTCTAAAAGTTTTTGTTTATCTCAGTGGTCAAAGGCAATTTGAAACGCCACACTGGAGCGCTCTAGCTTGGCTTTGCGATCTTCCCACTTCTTCTTGGACTTCATTGACTGTGTCTTGCCGCGTAGAAATCTCCGGAGGAGAATTGAGGAACGGTGATTCTTCATTGGAGAGATAATATGGTCGATTCGGGTGGATCAATGTGCTCATTGAACAAATAAATTGCGCCAACACAGTTTGAGATGCTGTTTTAGCGGATGATGCCCTGCATTTCATCATAAAACATCCACCTCATAATGCTGGACGAAGGTACGGATATCGGGGTGCCGGATAATGGCATTCCGGAGAGCGTCCGTAACCTCTTCGGGGGAAAAAGAATAACAGTTAAATGTGTTGCCAGCCACTGTCAAATGTCGTCTCGGTGGCGGTTAGGAGAACCTGAGTGAACTCAGCAATATGCTCAACATACATGTTTTACTTGAGCCACGGGATGAGTTGTAGGACTTTCCCCTAGGCCACGAAGGCAATGACCTTGCAAGCGATCAGTGGCTGCTTCCTCTTTAGCTAGCATGGAGGAAATTTAATGCTCGGAACCGGAGAGAACAAAATGATATGGGGGGAAGTCCAGGATTGGCAGAACACAGCGTCAAAAACAGCTCCCCCTCCACAAGGCGAGTGAACGGGGTGAGCAAGGGTGAAAGAGAGCCTTGAAAGCAGTAAGAGAGACTGCAAAGTTTGTGGCCGTGTGTGGAGGATACAGTGCGAGGAGTGTCTCATGTAATGATCGAGGGAAGAAGCCTTGGAAACCCAGCTACCCTTGCTTGCCACTCATTGTAGACGGACACGCAAAGGGTACAAAGGATAGAAAAAGCGAATGTTGAAGAAGCCAGTGGTATGAAGTACTCAGAAGGTAGATGAATGAGATATTTTTATTCAATCAAGGTAGATCGTTTATTACTTTTCCCCTGCCCTTATAGCGAAGCTCCCATTAAGGTGCCCAAGGACGTGGAGAAGGAGAAGGGGGCTTGAATTGCTTGAGACACAAACAAATATAATTGAAATGGTTTTCTAGCTGTTAAATTAACAAATTACAATGGGGGATGTGGTATATCTGCGTTGCAGTTTCCTGGACGTCATTGGGTGGGGAAAGGTAGGCCGGGAATTGGAGGTGTGGCTAAGGGGAGAAAAATAAAGAAAATGCCGAATCAATTCGTTTGACTGGTCTCTAGTTATGACAATATTATTTTCTTGGTAGAATTATCCACTCTCGCTTTTATAGCTTCCTGATAGTTCCATCTCAACCCTGAGCTTTCTCAGCGTTGATCAAATATCTGGCCCATCCATCCACGTACTCGTTGACAGTTGGAGTCTGAGCACTCGGTGGGTGGTGGGCAATAAAGAGGGCAGAGGCGGTTTTGTAGATAACGATACCCTCCTTTTCCTATTGGTGGGGAGGGAAGTTAGCATTTATCCTGTATAACTGGTCGCACTCGGAAAGATGAGGTGTAAGTGCGTCTCGCAGAATCGAGAGAGAGAGAGAGAAAGGTGTGAGTAACCTTTCGGCCAATGAGGCAATCCGGGTCCTTGTCCGATCTTACAAAGAAATATTTCTCGCCGGCATAGTAGAAGCCATTTGTTTGTACTTCCTTTGGTTCATCATCCTTGGTCTCTGCGAAAGAGCTCAGGATGAAGGCGATTTCGTTCGGCTGGGCCTAATAGGAATCTGTCAACTGTGGCGCAATTTTAAAGGAGGCCGAGGTTGTTCTGGTTCCGGCTACCAGCATTTGTGAAATTGAATGTCCCATACCGTGAAACCCTGAGAGCTAGCACATGGCGAGTTGGCGTACTGTGGATCCGTACTATAGATAGCCGCCTTGTCGATTCCCGGACACTGCAATAGGCTGCAGATAGTGAACCGAATTAGCACATGGTTTCCAGTCCATGAACTCGAGGGACTCTGTTCCGCAACTGACGGGCATGGCGGAAAGCAGAAGAAGTGGTATCAGATTATATATACCCATTGTGATAGTCTGATCAGATCAAGGGAAGTCAGCACCGGAAACTCATCTTGACAGAATGAACAACTTGGTATGAACGATGAACAGACAAAATATACATACCTGGCCAACCAACAGGCTTATTGACAGATGGGTCTGTCATTTTGTTTTTATTTAGTTCTCAGAACGATATATTAAAAAGTGGTCTATATGAATAGCGAAACGAGTCGCTTCAACGGAAAAAGAGAGGATTAGCACAAGTAGTTGATGGGCCGGGGGAAGGGGGCCGGAAGTGGAAGTTACCGATACACAGCTAACCCAGTAAGATGGAGTGACTGGAACAGTGTTCCGCAGCCAGGAGTCTCGTGCTGGGACAGGGGGAAGCGGGTGAGTGTATAGATATGTGATAGCAGTGGGATGGTTGGGGAGTAGTTGAAAATCAGAGGAGAAGAGTAGATGATGATATGTTTTTTGTTACGTAGGAACAACCAAGAAAAATAGTATGGGCCAAAATTGCAGGCCGCAGAGAGGGGAAGTCTTACCTAATCCGTAATCCGTAACGTAATCCGTAACTAACTAGATACTGCAACCCACACTTTCAGCAAATCTGCAACTAACAAATATTATATGGATTTTAACCAAAAATATCTTACGCTCAACTACCTCTCATTAAAATAAATTGAAATTACTAGATTCAGGGCATCATACTCTTGTATGCCCAATTGTGCCGCAATTGCTGCATCTTCGTGACACCCTGAGCATAGCCGAGGCTCTAAGGTAGCGGGCATAAAGAATTGAATCTCTAGCTGTTTAACAGGTTCAGCAAGCTTTATTTCTTGTCAAGCCATTTTCACATTGAATTCAATGACTAGGTTTTATATACTTTTATTTTTCTGTAGTAAGTATAGTATATATTACTTCTATTTTAAGAAAGCAAAAAAAGAAATTATATTAAAATAATTGCTAAAGAAATATTAAAACCTCTTTTTTAATATATATTAATAATATTAATATTATTATTATTCATTTGAGGTGTATGCAGTCAGTGACTAGATATTTACTTAATTATATTAGGATTTAACTATTCTATATAAATTTGATATATACATATACAAGTTAAAATACGCAATTATAGAGTTTCATTCCAGAATAATATAATATCAATATAGACTTATTATAAAAAATATAATTATATATATTTAGTTTAATAAAAACTCACAATAATAGAAAGAAATGATAAATATAATGAACAATTAATAAAATAAATTAATAATAAAGTAAAAGAAATAATTGTATTAAAATTTTAGAAGAAAAATCTTAATATACTGATGAAAATAATAAATAATAATAAAAAAAAAGTAATAATAACAAAAGAAAAATATATATAATGAGATGATTTTTAAGCTTTGATATTTATTAATGACACAGATGAAGTAGAAATTCTATCTGATTTAAAATTTATTTTTAAAAAACAGTTTTCATTTTTCTCTATATAATCAATTAAAAACTCTATTTCCAGTTCAGTATTAAAGAAAAAGAGCATATTCAACTAATTAATAAAGTATTTCATTTTTAATTTCTTTCTATTATTATTATTTAGTAAATACCTCATTAAATTATAATCTGAATTTTCAACTAAATCACAGAAATCATAGCTATTTAAGCTTGTAAAATCTTCAATTCTTTTTTAAATAGAATTTAAAATAGTTGTTATATCTCAATTTTAATTATATTATAGTAAAAAAAATTTTCTCTTATATTTTATTGAAAATGATTTTTATTTTAACTTTATTTCTATAACAAATGTGTTACTGATACAGCTTCAGCACTTTTTTGTAAAACAAAAAAACAAATTCATTAGAAGGAAAAAAGAAAAATAAATAAAAGCTGCAAAAATAGGCGCAGAGTTTAATACAAATTAGATAAAAAAATTAGTTCAGATGAAAAGTTTTTGATAATAAAAGATTATCACTCAGACATTAGTCTATTATAATTTCATATCTTGTATATTTAAGATTTTTTTTTTCTCAAAGCTTAGTTCATTTATTAAGATATTTCTTTTATTTTTCTATTAATATAAAATTAAAAAATAATTTTTTGAATTTTTTCTTAAGTTTTAATGTTAATTTTTACCCTTAAGTCTACTTTCTTATTTTTTAAAATGTCTATATAAGCTAGTACATGATAAGAAAATCTGAATATCTTCATCTTTTAATTTAAATTTCTACTATTTTCTGAATCTATTCAAGATTTACTTAATTATTTTAAAATTAATTTTTTTAATCTTTCTATTATAGCTTGACTATTTAAAAATATTTTATTTTTTTTTAATAATAGATTCTTTAAAAATTATTTTATACACTGATATAAATATTTTTTGAGTTGTAAGTACTTTAACATTAAAAATCTTATATTCTTTTTTAAGATTTAAGAATATAATTTATATTTTAAGTATATTTTAAAGTATATCAAAGTTAAACTTACTATTAGTATATTCATGAGATTATTAAATTTAAAGTAAATACTACTAGTTCAATATATACATTTCGCTTTAATCTCAATTCAGTTAACCAGGAAGCATCTACTTAAAAGTAGTCAGAGATAACTAATAATTTAACTGAAAAACTTATTTTTATATAAGTAGTTGCTACTTCTATTCTTGCTCAAATAGTTCTATTTAAAAAATTCAAAATCTGAGCATAAAATAAAGATTTAAAACCTGGAGAAAAAGTATTTAAACAAGAAAAGCTAGCTCAGTCAAAGAGATAATATCTCATTTTAAAGCTCTCAAAAATAGAAATAATAAACTTATTTTAAAGCTCGAAATTTATTTTTAAACTAAGAAATAAATTAAATAATTTCCTTCTTTCAGTGACAATAAATAAAAAAATAATTTTTACTATAAATATCTTTTTTATAAAAAACTTCTTAGTTATTATCACATTGTTCGAATTTTCTTCTAATCTTTTTATTCAAAATAAAAAAGAATAGAGACCTTTACTTGAAGAAAAATTACAAATTGAGATCAAATTAAAAAAAGATAAGAAATGAGAAATTCATTATTTATAACATTTTTAATAATATGTTTGACTATGAAGAAGGTACGATACTTCTAAAGAAGAAAATAGAGAAATATAGCCTCTTTCTAAAATTGAAAAATAATTTTATTTAAATTAGCAAATCAGACCTCAGACAAATATAATAAATTAAACTCAGTTATAATTATAATAGACTCTTCAGAATAAATGAAAATTTTATCTTTTTTTACAGCTGATCAACTTATAAAATTATTAAATAATTTAAATCTAAATCTATAATCAAAACTCATATTGAATGCAAAAATACTAACAATAGGAATATTTTATAGAAATATATAAATTTCCTATATAGCTTGAGCTCTATGCAGAAAATCATAGTATAAAAGATGATATTTATTTATTTACAATGTTAAAAGTAAGTTATACTCTTATATAATTATTAAAAAAATTTTAAAAATATAAGATTCAAAGTGATCAGGTCAATTTTGAATTGATTCAAAAAATAGTAGAAAAATTAAACTAAAAGATAAAAATATTACATTGAATATCTATTCATATAAATATTTTAGAAAATAAAATAGTTATGATATCAAGACTCTCTATACTAGCTCCTTACTCTCACACTGCTTATCACACTGCTTATTAAAGTGCTTACCTTCTCACACTGCTTATCAAAGCACTTTAAAATCAACATCTTCTAGAATCAGCATCATCTTAAGATTCAACACTCAGGATCAGCACTGATCAGCACTTCTCAAAAATCAGTTCTTTGAAATCAGCACTTCCTGAAAAATAGGATCAGCACTTCATGGAGAATCAGATCACTACATTACTAATTCTTCATTTCATGAAAGATTAGAAATAAAATATATTACTACTCATTCATGTATATAAATACTCTGAATCCATGAAGTTCCTTCAAGAGATTCAATAGTTAGCTATTATTTAATCTTATACATACATTTTCATCCATCACTATCCTCTTCCCTCTGTAGTGCTCATTGTGTTTATACACCTACCCTCTTACAATTCTAGTTATAGAGCTTCTCACGCTTCCTTTTGACACTGAGTTCATTTATTCTAAGTGTCCTCACAATAGTAGATATATATAAGGGGTTGAACCCCTAGATTTGCTCTGGCTGGCTGACTCAGCCTAGCCATCATTTGCACATGCGCATATGATCATGCTACGCGAGCTTGCTTAAGCTTGAGTTCTTATCTCATTCTTTTCTTCCCTTTCTCAAGCAATTTGTCCTTGTTATATAGGAGGACTAGCCTCTAGTTCTTAGAGCTTAACCTTTTACATTATGAATTGCTTCACTCCTTTCATTGATAGACCACTGGGAGTCTTAATCCTGTATCATGAAGCTCAGCAAATGTACTGACATATGATAGACTATTGAGAGCCTTAAATCCTGCATCACAAAGTTCAGTGATAGCACTAGTATATGAATAGACTGAGTTAGTAATCATGCTAACAAACAAATGAGCAATATTGAAAATGTCTAGCTGAATGAGATAAAGTGACAGACTTGTACAACAAATACACAAATGAATCAACACAAAGCAATGAGCAGAGACACCCTCAATAGCTTTGAACAACAATGGATGACCTTTCTTCAACAGCAGAAACAGGTTCAGCATGAGAACAGAGATTTAATAGCAGTTCAGCAAGCTGAAATAGCTAATCTATGACAAGCTTTGAACACTCTGACATCAACTCTCTCTCAATCAAACCTGCAACCACTCATTGCAATCAGAAGACCAAAGATTAAGCTACTAGACTGTGAGAAGTATGATAATTTTAATTTGAAGCACTATCCTCAGTGAGAGCTAAAGCTTCAATCAAAACTTAAGATCAATGGGAAAGCTTTAGGTAATAATGAGAAATGTGCTTGATATGTATATTTGAGACTGAAAGAAATGACAGCAGCTCAAGTTTAC